ACAGTAACAGATATATTTATAGTGAAAATGTTTGAAATATTGTGAGAATTGCCAAAATGTGACCCAGAGACAGAGTGAGCACATGCTGTTGGAAAGATGGTGCTGACAGACTTTGCGTTGCCACAGATCTTCTGTTAATAAAAGATGCAGTATCTGTGAAGTGCAAAAAGACGAGGTATGCCTTTATATGCCGTTATGTAACAGTCACTGCTACTGCATGTTTAGAAGCCTGCAATGATCTTAGAACATTTGTTCTTGCCACTCCTAATAAATTCCAATGAACATTTATCAATACTTTTTTTTTGTATTTGTCACTGCATGAACAAATTAGGTTAACAAATAAGGGAAAGAAGATAGTAGAGTCTCTGTGTTCAAAATATAGACATTTAATTTTCCTCCCATAGTTCTTTTTATTCAGTTTTAGTGGCTTTGATGACTACTGAAATCACTTTATTTAATTTAATCTTTTAGGAACTTGAAATAGATTGTGGCCTAACATTAAAAGAATCCACCACTTCTCTTCAGTTTGCATCAGTAAAGACACTAGGAACCTCTTAGGTACTGGAAATTTTCCCTGTGCTATAGAATGAGAACCTAATCCTTACACATGGCTTTTGTTTGGCAGCAGCCTAACTCATAATAAAAACAATTTGGAGGTAGCCAGTGGAAGAGACAGTAATTAAGATCATGCTGGAGTTTAGTTTTTTGTTTTATTTTAATAAATCAGTAAATTGAATTGTGGAGAAGAATTAGTTTTGTGTTCAAGATACTTGGTTTTTGCCTATTTCTTGCTGGAGAAATTTGCCAGCTTTTCCCCCTCTCGTTGTTTCCAGTCCCAGCCACACCGGCAATAATTGTCTTGGGAAAGATCTAACCGCTGCTTTCTCAATACAGACTACAGCTAAGCAGTTTATTTCCTTTTTCTAAGGTTAATTAGTAGTAGTAATAGAGATGTTTTGAACTTTTATTATAACTTCTATTATAATGGTATGTTGCTTTCTTTTGTAAGCAACATCACAGGTTTTGAAAGAAAGAATACAGATTTCAAATTTTTTAAATCACCTCTTATCCCATGAGAGATTTGTTTTCACACCAAAATATTATGAGATTATTATATTCCAAAGCTTTCTAATACACACATACTACATTATCATTCCAGTAGTAGTGGTGGTGGTGGTGGTGGCGGTGGTGGTAGTGGTGGTAGTAGTAGTAGTAATAAGAATAGCCTACATCTACTGAGCATTTATTATTTGCTTGTCTGGTAGGATTTAATATTTCCCTAATTAAATATATAGCAAAACTGAGATAGAGGGAAATTTAAGACTTGCCTAGAATCACATATCTAAAATGCTATAGGTATGGAATTGAAACCCAAGCAATTTGACTGCAGATTTTAGGTGCTTCTTGTTATTCACTCAACAATATGTCCTAGTCAGCTTCCATGTGAATTAACATGCATCAGAGCATCATCTTGACAGCTACATGGAATTTCATTTTAAGGATATAACAACTGATGTAACTAGTCTCCCATTGTTGGGCATTCAGGTTTTTTCATGTTTTTCTGTGATAGAAACATTGCCGTAATAAACATCACTGTGTACATCGTTGCATGCTTGTCCTGTTATTTCCTTAGAGTAAACTCTTATAATTTATTTCCTAAAATTCTCGGATTTCTTTAAATAAATTATTTCATAGAAAAAGAAAAACTCAATTTCAGAAATTTCACCTATGCCCTGCTACCATCCCAGAGAATAAGTTTTAAAAATTCATGGAATTATGGAACATGAAACCGTCAAAGGAAAGATAATTTTGTCGAAGTCTTTTGATATCTTTTAATGACTGTCAAAAAGAAAACAGAATCCCTAGAAATTAATTGAATTCAAACATTTCCCTTCAAATTTAAAGACACTCATTTAGTTTGTATTATAACGCTAATGTTTCAAAAATGTTTAGGACTTGGTGTGATTTAAACTAACTTAGTTTGAAAAGGAATTTATTGTAAGAAAATGATCTTCAGTCGGGACAAAGGCCCTTTTTTCTCTTTTCATTTCTGGCTCAGGAGAAGATGAGAAGGGCTGCTTTGAGGACAAGATTCCCAACAGAAGGGAATCCTTTGGCAGCAAGTGTAAACAGCTTTGGCAGAAAGCCCCCCTGCAAAGAAAAAGGACTTCAGCTTGTTTTAAACTAGAGAGTGAGCTCCAGGACAAAAAGATAACCCTGATGCCAGGGGTGGGCCAGTAGAGATTGTTTGGGTGGAAACCCTACATCACAAAGACTCTCTAGAGCTGCCTCATTAGAAATTGATGAGTTTTGAGACGTACCCCTTTCCCGTTCTCTAGACAGGATCAAGAACCATTCCAAGGAAGTGATTGTATTTCACTCAGGACCACAATGTTCCTTTTAGACATTGTTACCAAAATGATAAATAAAATATAAAAACTATGAGTGTAGGTTGTTTCCTGACCGTTTTCCCTTCAGTTTTCAGAAAATAAATCACTTATGTATATACAAAACTGGATTCATGCTTAATTTGAAGGAGATTGTCATCTTTAATTTAAAAATGTTTTAGAATCCTTTTTAGTCACTGTATATATAGAAAATGCTTTTTGCTCATTATGTTTCTGGGGTGGGTATGGATATGTGTATATGTATATGCATACTCGTGTTTAGCCTACATTTTCTTTTCTTTTTTTCTTTTTTCTTTTCTTTTTTTTTTTTTTGAGACAGAGTTTTGCTCTGTCGCCCAGGCTGGAGTGCAGTAGCGCCATCTCGGCTCACTGCAACCTCTGTTTCCCAGGTTCAAGCGCTTCTCCTGCCTCAGCCTCCCGAACAGCTGGGATTACAGGCTTGTGCCACCACGCCCAGCTGATTTTTGCATTTTTAGTAGAGACAGGGTTTCCATGTTGGCCAGGCTGGTCTCGAACTCCTGACCCCAAGTGATCTGTCTGCCTCGGCCTCCCAAAGTGCTGGGATTACAGGCGTGAGTCACCGTGCCCGGCCTAGCCTAACATTTTCAAACCGACGTTTTCAGTTGAGAGAATTGCTATCTGTTTGAATAAATTACTTGGAAAGACGGATGACAAGTCAGCATCCCATCCTTGTATAATTGCATGTGCAATTATGTGCAGCATTGCTGATGGTGTGGTTGGATGTGATACGCATGAAGGCGTAGTGAGGTGGTCAGAAAACTCAATCATTCGAGTATCCGTTTCCCTTTGATTCCAAACGACTGGCCATCGAAACAGTGGGTGGTATGGTAGCAGAGATCTCTCATACACATTCCTGCAGAGACGTAGAGAATGGAAGAGCTACTCTAAAGCAAAGTTTATTTTCTCACTTATTTTATCAAAAAACCTTATTGAGTACCTACTGTATGCACACATTTGTTGTCTGTGCTGTTCCTTCATCAGAATTCATTCCTCCTTCCTAAAAGCCTCATTTCCCCTCCCTTCCCACAGCCCCAGCAGGTACCCACGGTCCTTAGGTTACTGAAAAAATTTAGATCTTTCCCTCATCAAACCCAAGTCCTATATCTCCTTCCTGGAAGGCCCTGCTAAAGTGGAGTTTTATTCGTAATAACCTTTTTATCATAAAAAATAAACTTCAAGATGGAAAAAATATTTTAGAGAAAAAGATTATATCATGAGCATTTCCTCATGATATATGGCATACTTGTAAATATTTTAGTGGGTGGGTATTATTTTATTGTAGGCTTCAATTTCTTAACACTTACCCAATTGTTGAATATTTAAAATATTTTTCCCTATTATAAATAATGCCAAAATGGACATCTCTGTTCTTCCAACTTGGTTCATAATTTAGATTTATTTTCTTAGGGTAGAATTACTAAGTCATTGTTTATGAACATGTGTTAAGGTCCTTAATATAAATTGCCCAGTCTCTTTTCAGAGCATCTGTTGCAACTTATAGTTTCATTAAGCGTCCACGTAGTGCTCCTATTATGGCACCCTTACCCTCATTGAGCACTAAAATCTTTCAGAATCTTCACTGATTTTTTTTTTAATTTTCATTTTTCATTTTTGAGACAGAGTCTTCCTCTGTTGCCCAGGTTGGAGTGCAGTGACACGATCTCGGCTCACTGCAATCTCCGCCTCCCAGGTTTGAGAGATTCTCCTGCCTCAGCCTCCCAAGTAGCTGGGATAACAGGTGCCCGCCACTACGCCCAGCTAATTTTTTTGTATTTTTAGTAGAGACTGGGTTTCACCATGTTGGCCAGGCTGGTCTTGAACTCCTGACCTCGTGATACGCCCACCTTGGCCTCCCAAAGTGCTGGGATTACAGGCATGAGCCACCACGCTCGGCCATTTTTCTTATTACTAGTGAGATTGGATATTTTTCACATACTTATTAGACATTTTTTAGTTTCTCTTTCATGAATTATCTGTTTATGTTCTTTACTCAGACTTCTATTGGGTTTTTTGTGTTTTTCTTATTATTCACATGTATGAACTTAGTGAATTAAGAAGGTTGACCGTTTGTCTTTAATATTTATTCATTGTGTTTAGGCTAAAAAATCCCTCCAAGAATATTATTTGTAATCATATTATCACTTAGAGAAGATACCTTGTTTTTTTTCAGTGAGATGAGCTTATATCATTTTATATAGGAGATGGTTTTCGATGTTTAAAAATTAACAATACATTTCTTAAAGCTAAGTACAGAAAACATCTATTCCAGAAGATTTTATAAAACAAGGAACAGTATATAAATTGCAAGAGACCTTGGTACTACCAGTCAATACTTCTGTATTGATATAGCCATTGTGTTCTTATTGCACTTAATTCGATAGCTCCTCTGGGGTGCTTGTTACAAATATATGAGATCTACGCCCAGACTAAGCACCTGAAACAGGTAATGAGCTGCTTTGGAATGTACTGGATTCCAGTTGAAATTCTAGTAATCCCTCATTCCCATACTTCAGTTTTCCTTACCTCTAGAGCCCCTGAACAGTAGCTCATACGTTCTCTTTTTCCTTTTAGACAATTCCTCCTCGCTTCAGGAAGAAGAAGAAGTAGAAATGGAGGCCATCAGCTGGCAGGCCAGCAGTCCAGCCATGAATGGGCACCCTGCCCCTCCAATGACCTCTGCTCGTTTTCCCAGCTGGGTCACCTTTGATGACAATGAAGTCAGCTGCCCTTTAGCACCAATCACCTCTCCTCTGAAGCCAAATACTCCACTAAGTGCATCTGTGATCCCAGATGTACCTTATAATTCAATGGGATCATTTAAGAAGAGGGACCGTCCCAAGAGCACTTTGATGAACTTCTCCAAAGTTCAGAAGCTGGACATTTCCTCTTTAAACCGCACGCCTTCTGTAGCTGAGGCTCCACCTTGGAGGGCAACCAACCCTTTCCTGAATGAGACTCTGCAGGATGTACAGCCCTCCCCTATCAACCCTTTCAGTGCTTTCTTTGAGGAACAGGAGAGGCGCTCCCAAAACAGTTCCATTTCCAGTACCACGGGCAAAAGCCAAAGAGATTCCCTCATTGTCATCTACCAGGATGCCATCAGTTTTGATGATTCAAGCAAAACCCAGTCACACTCTGATGCTGTTGAAAAACTCAAACAACTCCAAATTGATGACCCTGATCACTTTGGCAGTGCAACTCTACCTGATGATGACCCGATAGCCTGGATTGAACTAGATGCTCACCCGCCTGGATCAGCACGGTCCCAGCCCCGTGACGGGTGGCCAATGATGTTGAGGATCCCTGAGAAGAAAAACATCATGTCCTCCAGGCACTGGGGACCGATCTACGTCAAACTGACAGATGCTGGTTACCTGCAGCTGTATTATGAGCAGGGCCTAGAAAAACCATTCCGTGAGTTCAAGCTGGAGATCTGTCACGAGATTTCAGAACCCCGGCTTCAAAACTATGATGAGAATGGCAGAATCCACAGCTTGCGGATAGACCGTGTCACCTATAAGGAGAAGAAGAAATACCAGCCCAAACCTGCTGTGGCCCACACAGCAGAGAGGGAACAGGTGATTAAGCTGGGCACCACCAATTACGATGACTTCCTGAGTTTCATCCATGCAGTTCAGGACCGTCTCATGGATCTGCCGGTGTTGTCAATGGATTTGAGCACAGTTGGCCTGAACTACCTTGAAGAGGAGATTACAGTGGATGTCAGAGATGAATTCTCTGGCACTGTGAGCAAAGGAGACAACCAGATTCTCCAGCACCATGTCTTGACGCGGATCCACATCCTGAGTTTCCTGTCTGGGCTCGCAGAGTGCCGCCTGGGCCTCAATGACGTCCTCGTCAAAGGGAATGAAATAGTTTTGAGGCAGGACATCATGCCCACCACCACCACAAAGTGGATCAAGCTCCATGAGTGCCGTTTCCACGGGTGTGTGGATGAGGATGTATTCCACAACTCGCGGGTCATTCTGTTCAACCCTTTGGATGCGTGCCGGTTTGAGCTAATGCGGTTCAGGACAGTGTTTGCTGAGAAGACCTTGCCTTTCACACTCAGGACAGCCGCAAGCGTCAATGGGGCAGAGGTGGAGGTGCAGAGCTGGCTGAGGATGTCAACTGGCTTCTCCTCCAATCGTGACCCCCTCACTCAGGTTCCCTGTGAGAATGTGATGATCCGTTACCCTGTGCCCAGTGAGTGGGTGAAAAACTTCCGCAGGGAAAGTGTCCTGGGGGAAAAGTCTTTGAAAGCCAAAGTGAACCGGGGGGCAAGTTTTGGCTCCACTAGTGTTTCTGGCTCTGAGCCTGTCATGAGAGTAACGCTGGGAACTGCCAAGTATGAGCATGCCTTCAACTCCATTGTGTGGAGGATAAACCGACTGCCCGACAAAAACTCAGGTGGGTGGTGGTTCCTCTTCTGTGAAAACAAACATACAGTTGTAAAAAAGCTGAGATCAAAGTTCCACATCCTGTATGAAGTGCTTGTTTTTACTGTGTGATGGGAGTGGTGATGGAGGGGGAGTGGGACCAGAAAAGTAAAAATAATTGAGCAAGGTAAGTAATGCGTATAGTGTCCCAGTTCACTCTGTCTTTTCACCCCCTCATTATCACACATCTTCCATAAAACTAGGGATTTTTCTTCTCAGCTGAGCTGCTAAGCAGCTTTTCAGGGCAGCTTCTGAATTTATATTCTTTGGGGACTCATTAACGTATTAGCTGTGGTGCTGGAAGTGATTCATTTCTAGATGGCTTCTGAAGAGACATCTTTCTCACACTGCCCTCGATGTAGGTAAAAGGGCCAGTTTATGGCCAGTCATGGACAATACACTGAGAGGTTAATTTTATGACTCCAGCTACCCTGTGCAAGGCCTGTCAGTCATAATATCTCAAGTTCAGAGTTTGGCTCTGGGACTGGGGGATGGGAAAGAAAAGTGGCCTTCAATCAGACTGAAGATCCAGCTAGGACATGAATTTCTAAAAGGGCCAGAATTCTAGCAGACAAAATATAAAGAAAAGAATGTTTTATTTAGACAAACAAACAAACAAAATGCTTACCAGCCCTAGCTGGGCTGCTCACAGCTATCAGGGATGCTTTTGTGCTTGAGTGAATGCAGAAGGCAATTACTTCCCCCATGGGTCCAGTGAGATTTAGTGAAATGACAAAGTGAGGGAGCAGTCAAACCAGCACTAATACATGTATTTCTTCGAGTATGTCTGGGTGACCCCAATGGTAGGCAGCAAGCCCCTGATCTTGTAAGCCTTTAAATCCCTTCTTTTCTTGTTTAGAATACATTTTGCCCATCTGTTAACAAAAGTGGATATGCTAGCTGAGCAAAAAGAATAAGGTTTGGAAAAACTCTTGATTCAAATGGCTTTCTCTTATGTGGCTATCCTTTCTTCCATTCTCACTATAAATCCTAGCAGTGTGTTCAGAGTTTTCCTCTCCCCGCTCTGAGTGTGAAGTGGCAGTATTATTATATCCTAAGTGTAAAGCAGTGTGATGGCAGACGGCAATATGATCTGGCCAGCTCCCCAGGCAATCCAGGGAATGGACACACACCAGGGCGTTCTGTATCAGACACTGGGTGTAGCTGTGCAAACTGAAGAGACAATTGGACCTCTGTGTTTGAGGCTGGATTTCTAAACTGACAGAATTTTTAAAACCAAGTGTTCCTCTCTGTGCCTGCTTATTCATTTCCCCTGAACTCAGCACTGTCTTCTGCTGGCGGCAGCACTGTAACTTCTACCTTATCCACGGGGCGCCTCTGACCTGACAGAGGAAGAGAGAAAACCCTGACCTCTCCTCTGACACGGAAGCCCTTGGAAAGAGACAACCATGGAATGACCGGATTTTCAAGCTGGAAGGGACCTTGGGGATAACTCAGGTTATTTATAGATGAGAAAATTAAGGTCGGGAAGGCGATGTGACGCATCTAGAGAGTCATGCAGTCACATCCAGGGTCCTTTTCTCAATCTGTCACTGGTGTCTCCTGATAGATGGAGCCAAATAGACACAAATATTGAAATCATTTCCACCAGAAGAACAGATATTTGCAGTTTTTCCAGTGAGTACAAACGTGTCTATTTGTTTCAAAGGGATTTCTCCCAAACATTTAAAAGTACTGCATGAAGGTTTTTTTTTTTTTTTTATTATTATTATAAGTAACAAAGACTTACTGGCTACCTTAAGCAACAAAACAAATTATTGGATGGGATAGCTCAGAGACCTGAGGAAAAGACTGATCCAGAAGACTTTAGAAAGACAGCAGTAGAGTAGCTCTGGTCATAGAGACTAATGGATATCTCCTCAGCGTGTAGCCTTAGGACAGATCATCACAGACTATTTTTTGTTTTTTGTTTGTTTGTTTGTTTTGTTTTGTTTTGTTTTAAATGAAGTCTCACCGTGTCACCCAGGCTGGAGTGCAGTGGCGTGATCTCGGCTCACTGCAACTCCCACCTCCTGGGTTCAAGCGATTCTCCTGCATCAGCCTCCTGAGTAGCTAAATTTTTGTATTTTTAGCAGAGGCAGGGTTTCACCATGTTAGCCAGGCTGGTCTTGAACTCCTGACCTCAGGTGATCTGCCTGCCTCCTACTCCCAAAGTGCTGGGATTACAGACCTGAGGCACCGCCCCCGGCCCTATTTTTTTGTTCTTTTGCAGCTTGGCTCAAGAGACTAGGGGAGAGGAGTGTGTTTTGACTGACGTGACCACCAAGACAACATGTAGCCCTGGGGAAGATTATTTCCCAAAAGGAGAGAAAGAAAAAGACTGCTACCAGAAAAGAGGGAGGATGGGTACAGGACAGGGAAAAAGCACAACCAGGCCTTCAGCAAACACTCTCCTTAATGATTCCCAGTGGAGAGTGTTCTGTTGGCTCAAGGGCAAGTAAACGCAGCTTATATGCTGTTTCCAGATTGCTGGAACCTCGTTTGTGGAAGATTTTTGAAATATAGCACAGCATAAGGGTATCTGTTGATGTTTCTTATTTAAATCTTCACAGCCTTGCCCCATTACTGCTTTCGCTGTTATGGTTATATAACAGTATTTTCAATAGTGAAACCCCAAAAAGAGGCTTCTTATACTTCTCTGGTCAATGGTATGTTTTCCATACCCGTTCGGGAAATGGACAGCACCCTTTTTTGGAAACTTGCGGTGTATAGGATCTGAATTCCAGGCAGAATGGAAGTTGTCACCCACTGCTGGTATTCAGTGTGCCCAGCTCCTGCCCTCCTTGGCAGTGTTCATCCGGGAACCCAGAGAATTGATGGTTATCTTTTAGGAATAGCCCTTTCCTGGGCTCGTCTGTCTAGGTGTTCAGACAGCCCTGGGAAGATGCTTTGTACAGGTTATTTTTTGTAATCCTTAACCTTCTTTAAGGAAGCTGGGGCGCAGCTGAAGTCAAAGGCCTGGCTGGCTGGAAGCCTACCTCTCCTCACACGTTCCTGCCTGCCGTGGCCCTGTATTCCCAGGCCCCAGTGGGCAGGGCAGTCAAAGCCCAGGCAACAGAGGCCAGCAGGTCATCACCCTTGTGTTGCTGGCATCCCTAGCCTATAACCACAGCAGGCTTGTCCCATTCCCAGCCACCAAGAGACCAAGCAGCCACCTTTGAATGGTGGGGCCCAGCCCAGCCTGGCCCAGCCCAGCCACATAGGTGGGCAGCTCCCCTCTCTGAGCTCTCCAAGGACCCCGCCCACCCTCATCCCAACAGTTTTTCTTTCTTTTTTTGTTTGAGATGGAGTCTCTATCACCCAGCCTGGAGTGCAGTGGCACGATCTTGGCTCACTGCAAGCTCCGCCTCCCGGGTTCACTCCATTCTCCTGCCTCAGCCTCCCTTGTAGCTGGGACTACAGGCACCCGCCACCACGCGTGGCTAATTTTTTTGTATTTTTAGTAGAGACGGGGTTTCACCATCTTAGCCAGGATGGTCTCGACCTCCTGACCTCGTGATCCGCCCGCCTCAGCCTCCCAAAGTGCTGGGAGTTTTTCTTCATCTTAGAAGGCACCAACATAAGTCCTGCTGCTTCCACAGATCATCGCCAGGAAATGAAACATTCTGTCCTGCATGTGTGTTTTTTTTTGGGGGCCCCCCCCGTTCTCATTAGACCTGGTAGAGGGAAAACAGTCCCAATATGATCATCCTTGTATGGGAAATTTTAAACATCTGAATTTTTTGTTGAGTTTTCTCAACCTCATCAAGGACAATGACAGCATGTGTGGACTTATTTAATGCATTACTATGAATTAAACCACAATAGCTTTCAAAATTGAACTTCCTTAACTGTCCACCACCCTTACCCATCTGAGAGCTGATGCTAGGATTCTAGGAAAGAATGCTGCTTTCAGAATTTGCTGTGAATACACTTTGGTGGAGTAAAAGGAGGGAATCAGTTGGGTAGAAAGGAAAGATTTCTCCATATTCCAACAATGTGCAAAATAAGTGTAATTAGATTAAAAGAGTTGTCCAAGTTGCTATTAAATTAAGAGATGCTTCTGTATACTTGGTTGTGATCTAATTTCACAGCAATATATTGAGAAGAATTTAGGACATAGTTTGAAGGCAGAGTCATCTCTGAATCTTATTTCCAGCTCTACCACTTAATGGCTGTGTGACCTCGGGCAATTTACTTAACCCTCTCAGAGAAACCTAATTTTTCTCATCTATAAAATAGGGTTATTAATATCTAGTTCATTCAGAATGAAATGAGATAATGCTTTTAAGGGCTTAGCACAGTATCTGGCCTGTAATAAAATGTCCCATAAACGATAGCTGTATCATTACCTCTGTGGCACACAATTTAAAAACATTGAATGGATTCATTTTCAAGTAATTTAATTTTTACTGTTATATGTATCTTACTTAAATTCTTTTCCTAAAATTAGTGCACATTTTTCAATTTTCCAAAGCTTTACTCTTTAGAAATAACCACTGAAATATGTTATGTCTGTGAAACAGAGCAAAACAAATACTTCACTATCTAATGTTTTCCTTGGAGAGCGGGTGTGTATGTCCTCACTCTCTGAGATTGAAAAGTCCTGGCCAGACCAATAAAGAACATTGGAATTGTTTGTTTGTGGAAACTGGGATAACTAAGGGGCTGTTTCAGTTACATAATTAAGGCAAGGCCATTTCATGTTGTTTATCTATAGCTAGTTGCAATATGGGGGTTCTTACAGCTCAATCCCCCTGTCACCCTGCAAACTTGGTCTTGTGTTTTGGGGACCATGAGGTTATGACTCAGACAAAGTGGTTAAGAACACTGTGGGGTCAGACTGCTAGGTTCAGTTTTTTGTTTTTTGTTTTTTTTTTTTGAGACAGAGTTTCGCTGTGTCCCCCAGCCTGGAGTGCAGTGGCGCAATCTCAGCTCACTGCAAGCTCCGCCTCCCAGGTTCATGCCATTCTCCTGCCTCAGCCTCCTGAGTAGCTGGGACTACAGGCACCTGCCACCACGCCCGCCTAATTTTTTGTGTTTTTAGTAGAGACGGGGTTTCACCTTGTTAGCCAGGATGGTCTCAATCTCCTGACCTCATGATCCGCCCACCTCGGCCTCCTGCTAGGTTCAGTTTTTAGCTTTGCCACTTTCTAGCTGTGACTGTGGGTAGCTCATTTTACCTCCCTAAGCCTTACCTTCCTCAACTATAAAACGAAGGTAACATTCTGACCTCAAAGGATCCTAATGAAGACTCAAAGAGAGAATCTGTGTAAAGGATTTAACATTGAGGCCAGGCGCGGTGGTTCATGCCTGTAATCCCAGCACTTTGGGAGGCCCAGGCGGGAGGATCACAAGGTCAGGAGATCAAGACCATCCTGGCTAACATGGTGAAACCCCGTCTCTACTAAAAATACAAAAAACTAGCTGGGCATGGTGGCAGGTGCCTGTAGTCCCAGCTACTTGGGAGGCTGAAGCAGGAGAATGGTGTGAACCCAGGAGGCGGAGGTTGCAGGTGAGCCAAGATCGCGCCACTGCACTCCAGCCTGGGTGACAGAGTGAGACTCCGTCTCCAAAAAAAAAGATTTAACATCGAATGAGTATAGGGTGCGTCAATGCTTCCTATATGGCAGATGAATGACAGTGGTGTTTTCAGTGGTTATGGTCATAGAACTAAGCTCTGACTCTTTTTCCTCAAAAATCTCAGTAACAATTCTCGAGTGAAAATCAAACCCGAAGTTTGCCATCACGAGTATAGTGGAATTACCCATAGATGTATAGAATTAAGGAGCAGCAAGGGACTGTGCCTGGCATTGTCCAGTCCACCATGTTGTACTGTTTCCTCGTATCCTAATCTCCCCACTTTACAGAGGAGGAATTGAGGCCTGGAGACTATAAAGGACTTGAGGGCAGGAGCTCTGCTGCTTGGTAGGGGAGCTGGAAGTCCAACCCAGGTGTTCTGCTGGTTGGTGTTTTGCGCAGTGTTCCATATGCCTCGCTAATATCTGTGTGCTATTTATAAAGTCTGTCATTTACATATATCATTCATGCACAAAAGCATGCCAAAAGCATTTTGAAACTATGAAATGCTATTAAGAAAATCAGTTCATTCGTCAAAGAAAAGCAATGATTTGCTCCAGGAAGCTGTCATTGATATTTTATTAGGTGCCAAGTGCTGATCCCTTCTATTCCATTCTTTACATCCTTACCCCTTATTTCTTAGTGTTTGGACTGTGTTCACATCTCACTCTCACCCGAGCAGGCAGAATGGCCCCTGTTTCTCAGGCCTTGGGTTTTATTGCTGGGATACCAGGCTGCTAGAATCCGGTGGAGTTATATCAAGGGGCTGAGGCACACAGAGCGTGAATTCTGCTGAGCCAGGCGGATCCTATTGCTCAACACTGGACCCGCTGAAAGCCTGCCAGGTGCTGAGCCCACAGGCCTCCTTTATTACTGAAGTGGCTCCTTTGGCTGCTCCTTCCACTTTCTCCCCAAATAATCTGATCTCTCGATTGTCTTTCTTTCATAGCTTCCGGTCACCCACACTGTTTCTTTTGCCACCTTGAACTCGGCTCTGACCGGGAAGTGCCTTCCAGATTTGCCAATCGTGTGAATGTCGAGTTCAGCATGCCCACAACTTCTGCCTCCAAAGCCAGCGTGAGATCTATCTCCGTGGAAGACAAGACTGATGTCAGGAAGTGGGTCAATTATTCTGCACACTACAGCTACCAGGTAGCCTTGGGAAGCATCTGGCTAATGCTTCCAAGTCCATTTGTTCACCCCACTACCCTCCCTCTCTTATTCCTTTAGCCATGCTTCCTGTGTGCTCGCCTCATAACCTCTTACTGCCTTAGAGGAAGTTCCGCCTACATAGCTGTGGATGCGTCTGCTCTGATTTAAATGCATCATCTGGCTAGTGGATGAGAGAAAGGTTGGAAAAAAATAAAGAGGCTCATCAAAGAGAATATAATGTCTTTCTGTCATTATGAGCAATGACAACAAAAAGAATAATGGGGGCCGGGCACAGTGGCTCACACCTGTAATCCCAGCACTTTGGGAAGTGGAGGTGGGCCGATTACTTGAGTTCAGGAGTTCAAGACTAGCCTGGCCAACATGTAACAGTAAAAAGTACAAAAATTAGCCAGGCATGGTGGTATGTGCATGTAGTCCAGCTACTCAGGAGGCTGAGGCGGGAGGATCACTTGAGTCTGAGAGGTTGAGGCTGCAGTGAGCCGTGATTGCACCACTGTACTCCAACCTGAGTGACAGAGCCAGACTGTGTCTCAAAAAAAGAAAAAGGATAATGGGGTAAAGTTGTTATTATTCATTTGTGATATAATTGATGTTACCGAGTAGTGAGCTTGGAAGTAGAGGAGAGAAAGCGCTATCCCAAAGCATATGTTTCAGTTAGAGTTGATGAAGTGGACCTGAACGAAGTTAGGACACGTATGACCGGGGTACTGGGCTGTAACAGGACAAAACTCAAAAGCCAAGCAAACGTTTATAATAGTAACAGGATCAGGGCTGTGGAAGGAATCAAGAAACTTAAAGTTTTCTGACATAAACAGAAAGCGATACATTCCTGGGGAGTTAGAAATTCAACAGGAGATTAAATGCCAACGATTGGAAAGGGAGTTTGTTAAAGAAGGATTTTGCAAAGTGGTTTTCTATTTATAATAATATCCTTGGATTTATATGGTGATTTATTGTTCCTCTAAATGTTTCCTTAGTTGTGTGGGCTAAAATATTTAACTACCAAAAGGAACAAACACTCCATCTTGTGGCGAGGAAAAAAATAGCACTTTCCTCAAACCTGACTCTTGAGTGTTGAATCATTACCCTGTATGTAGGTCAAGCATCATAAATATCCAAAGTGGTGCTGAGAGGAGCAACTTGAACCCTGAACTCGAAGAATTCCTTGCCTGAGCTATCAAAGATTTCCGTTGAGATGTATTACTTTCAAAGATTAATCTATTAATTTATTGATAACTACAGCGATAGTATGTTGCAAAAGATATGGTAGAACTGTAAACACTCCAGTATGTATCAGTTTGGAGGTTTTCTAAAGAGAGAAAGTATTGGAGGTGGCCAGCTGCTGTGGCTCATACCTGTAATCCCAGACTTTTGGGAGGCCAAGGCCAGTGGATCATTTGAGGTCAGGAATTCAAGACCAGCCTGGCCAACATGGTGAAACCCTGTCTCCACTAAAAATTCAAAAATTAGCCAGGCGTGGTGGTGTGTGCCTGTAATCTTAGCTACTCTAGAGGCTGAGGCAGGAGAATCACTTGAGCCTGGGAAGTGGAGGTTGTGGGTGCGCTGTGAGCCAAGATTGCACCGCTGCACTCTAGTCTGGGTAACAGAATGAGACCCTGTCTCAAAAAACAAACAAACAAAAAAACAAGTATTGAGGGGGTGCAAACAGTCAATTACAAAGGAATTAATTCATTTGATAAATCTTTGTCAATTGCCCGCTGTATTCCTACATTACTGCATAAAATATTGAACAAGATCCTGCCTGTCTTGTGGAGCCCATGGTATAGCAGAGCCAGACAGGTGTGCAAGGTACAGTGGAGATATTCACAGGGAGAAGTACCTGATTCTACTCAGTAAGTCAAAAATAGCTTCACAGAAGGGGTGACCTTTGACCAAATGTACAAGGCAAAGAATAAGAATTTTCCTGGTGGACCATGAGGGAAAGGGAATTACAGACCAATCAAAGAACATGTACAAAGAGAGAGACATGATATACTCAGGGCCAGTAGCTCCAATGTGGCTAAAGCCCAGAACGTTAGCAAACTTACAAGAAATCTCAAAGCACCTATGGAGTTTTGGTTTATTTATTTATTTGCATGCTTTTCTCTTCTTTTTGATCTTTATCTCCAACTTCTATTCTTGGCAGGTGGAAATTGAGCAAAAAAAGAGTTTGAAGCCGGACTTTGAAGGAGATGAAATGGACAATCCCAAGGAGTGTGGAGTGCAATGACAAAGCCTTGCGGGAAGGAATCCTAATCCCAGGGTCATGATAGGGTGTCTTCCTGAGTAGCGGAAGTTTCAGTCAATACCTGCTGTGGCCACTCCATGTTGGGAACAGTGTACCAGATCTTCCTGTTTGCAGTTACTTGTATTTTACCAGGAAACCATGAGAATGGTGGCTTTTGGAGAGGCTCTTGGATTCTGGTCATGCCTAAAGCACGTGGTTCACCTGACTGTTGGAGCTTACTGTATAATTAAGCCTCCTTGTCTTGTCTCTGCTTATCTCACAGCACTGGTATGTGGTTTGTTGTGACTGTTACAGTCAGGAAAAGAACCTCCCACATCAGTGTTAGCACGATTCCCTTCTGATGTTCATCTGTCACTCGCGTAAGTTTCCGGAAAAGGCAGTCTTGAGAAGTTAATTAAGAATCCATCTCTTTCACTCCGTCTAGAAAAGGCTCAGAAAAGGTACAAAACAAATTTCCTCTTTGGGTCTTACTAGACCTTTTTGAGGTGTCTCCATTCTTTAAATGTTGAGTTTCCAAGACATTTCCCTTCTGGCTCTAGATTGTTTAGACTGGAACACTTTTTCCATCTCTCTAAGGTTTCAGTCACAGGATTTGCTATCCTGAGTCACAATAGACAATGGAAAAAGGCACAATAGGAGACTTTTTAATTCTGTGAATGGACCCACATTCAGCAAAATGGCTGTTGAGGGGAAGCCAAAATTAAGCTTAGTTTTCTTCATTCTGGAGAAAAGAGACATTAAATGTAAGATGATGTTCAGTTCAAGAGGTAGATTTAATCTCAGCGAATTCCCAAATTCACCCTGAAAAATACAGTCCATTTCTGATTCCTGAAACAAATATCTATAATACCTCAGGTGTAAGGGGTGTTTGGGAGTTCTTTTTATACCTCATGACCAATAAACAGTTGCATGTCCCTTTAACCCAGACTTTATAGGAAACTTAAGCTGCAAAGATAAATTTTAAAGCTGTTTTAAAATTAAGCTTGAATGAGCTTTCCCCCAAAATTCAGAGTTTGATAATCACAGTATTGTAATGGATTGAAAAGGCATCTCTAGGATAGAGACAGGGAAAAGCCATATTTTTCTAATGTTGGGAACATTATATCCTGATTCCAAGAGTCAGAACACTCACTCCATCTTCCTTTTCTTCATCTGTTTCTGGGACACTTAATCTTTTCCTTCATCCATTCCTACTCACCTCTTCTTATTTGTATCTTGGTGTTTTCTCCCATGAAGAATAGAGTGGGGGGACAGAAGGCACACTTTGTCAGATTTGTAGATGATGCAGAAATGAACAATATCTCCAGTTTTTGGCTGATGGATTCAAGATTAATGTATTCAATGAACAATCATTGGATTCTAAATATGTATTGACACTGGGATATAGAAATAGTTACAGTATTATGAAATATCTGAACTAAGACTGAAAGTAAAAGAATGATTGAATAGGCATTAATGAGAAACCCTATATTCTGGGTTTTTTAAATGCAAAGTACAGAGTGGAGTGTGTATTTATGGATGTGTGTGGTGTTGATGGGAATAGTGTTAGGAAGACCTGGTTTCACAGTACTTTATAGAGAAATATTTCCTTACAGAAATGGAGGTTCAATGTTGACTCAGAAATACATCATGGCTATTCACAAAGCTAATGTGTTCAGCTGGTGTTAATAAAAGCCTTGCATGCTTTCATTAACCCTCCCTCTAGTCCATATCTAAATGGAGGGTTGACTTCAATTATGGGTATCATATTTTAAGACAGACATTAGTAAGTTGATTGTGTCCACAGGGAGGTGACCAGGGTTGTAAAGGGTCTGATGATACAAGAACAAAGGGATAGCTTCCCTGAAGGAACAGAAGGTATAGCTGGAAAGGGAGTGCAGACAAGGAGGGAATGATATAATAGCTGCCTCGAAATTTCTGTTGAGCTATAAAAAGGAAGAGGAATTAGACTTATTCTGTGTAGCTTCAAAGGGCAAAAATAAGAACAAAGAGGAACTTCACAGATGACAAATGTTTGCTTCAATATAAGGAAGAATTTTCTAATAAGAGTTGTTCTAAAGAGGAATAGACTCAAGTTAGCAAAATTTTCTGTTCCTGTGAATGCCCAATGGTTAAAATAACCACCTATCCCACGTGCTGTGAAAGGCAATCTTACATTGGATTTGCTCTCTATGTCTACCAAGATTCCTTCTAAATATAGGTTTAGTCTCAATAGTAATAAGACTCTCTAACTTCGTTTGTCTTTTTCTTCAGAAGTGGTTTTTCATGCTCTTTGAAATACAGTGGAGTTCCTTTGAGGTTTTTATCAAGGGATTTCAAAGCATATCTCTTCCCCTGTTGTACTAAAGGCTTTTGAGATTGATTCCTCATAGAACATCTAAATGGACTGGAGAGTTGGCAAGGGAAATGAAGCTCATCCCAGCACCTTCCTTAGTCACTAAGGCTTAGCACTCCGTCAAGATCTCTGCCTCATCTGCTAGCATCACATGTGGATTGCTTGTTGGAACTTATTTTCCCCCGCCATGGTAAATTCTCATTTCCGGTGTACATGCACCTGGACTGTTTTTTTTTACCAAGAGTTGGGAAAAATCCTTCTATGTTATCTATATTCTGCAAGCAAATTGTTATTATTATTATTATTATTAAGACAGAGTTTTGCTCTTGTTGCCCAGGCTGGAGTGCAACGGTGCAATCTTGGTTCATTGCAACCTCTGCCTCCCGAGTTCAGGCAATTCTTCTGCCTCAGCCTCCTGAGAGTAGCTGGGATTACAGGCGCCCATCACCATGCACCACTAATTTTTGTATTTTTAGTAGAGACAGGGTTTCACCATGTTGGCCAGGCTGCTCTCAAATGCCTGACCTCAGGTGATAAGCCTGCCTCAGTCTCCCAAAGCTCTGGGATTACAGGTGTGAGCCACCATACCGGACCCATAAATTGTTATTAATTTTTAAAAACCTAACATCTTAATTTCATCAAATTTGTTTTCCCTCTACTGTTTTTAGGAAACTGATTATGGGTAGCATTTAGGGGCTTGGGGATTATAATACTATATATTTTTAGATGTAAGGAGTGTTTTACTAGTTTTAAATAACTTCTATAGAAAACACAAGTGGGCTATGTAATAGCCTACATAGAAAACAGTTGGGCAAATTACCAGTGGATGTGCAGATTCTACTTTTGCCACCCTGAACCTGGACTTTTATTTTCCTTTTGTGGTCACAATCTTTATCAATAATGTGAAAATAGTAAAAATGAATTCATTTTACCAGTATATAGTATTACTCTTAGAACATAAATTCGATATCACATGGTATCAAGAGCTGTGCTTTCTTTTGAGTCTAGGACCTGCTTTTTGACTTTATAGCAAAAAGATAAGAAATGTACTCCTTTTGACATGTCAGACAAGACAATGTGAGGCACTTTGTGGGGATACCATTAGATCCCCCTTGCCTGCTCTTGCAGACATAGTACTAGTTATTCCTTATCAAAAGTTTGCGTTTCATTCATATTAAATATTATCTGGACAGTTTCATTTTTTTCTATTTGGCTCTTCCCTTAGGACTGTGCCTTCTTGCATTATTGGCAGGGTTCATAATCCTTGAGAACACTGTTTGATTTAAAATATTTTTTATTTGAAATGAGACTGATTTCTATTCAAATCCAGTAGCTGGGAGTAAGAGTTTATTTCCCTAGAAACTTACGTTTCTGAGAAATGGGATCCATGAAAGCAAGGAATGTATATAATTTTCTGTGTTTCCAACACCTAGCACAAAGCTTGGAATATAATAGGGTTCAGCCACCTTAAATGCTTGCCGATAGGGCAAACGTATCCTCATGAAATAAAGGAAAATGAGTATGGATTCAATAAATGTTTGCTGAAAGAATACTGACCCTGAGACTCTAAGGCTACTTAACCCTTATCATCAGCTACTCATAATAAAGCCAGCAAGCATGCTTTTATTTCCTGAAGGACTTAAATAATTTTGCTTTCCTTTTATTCCTGCCTCCAGAGTCGAGTAATAAAACCTGTCAGCACTTAGGCACTTAATATGCTGCTGAATTTGAACTACAATGTACCTCATTCACATTGAAAAACATTTTTGTGCCCAAAAGCATAGTAGCATAGATGCTGTCCATAGTCACGGTGATTGATTGCTTTGTTCCTGCAAGTCAAACAGATCTATGAGCCTGGGCCTTGCCCATTTCAATGGTCAGTAGGAAAAGAAAGCATTTGATAAGAGTGCACAACCAGTCTTCAAGCACTAGGTCTTTGTTCTTCCAGCATTAACCACTGACCGTTACTGTGCATTTATTTTGTCACCACAGTGAGACGGAGGTCTGAGATAGTAAGGTTGAAATTTGTGAGATAAAATCATGATTTCAGAGGTGATATATATTTCACCATAAGTTTAGTGGTGGGAAAACAGAATGAGCTGAAGTTTTTTCTTAAAAGCCTTGGGAATATTAAATTGGTTTAAGTAGGAAGCACTACCATCCAGCCTACTTACAGAAATTCTCCCAGTTGGAATGACAACTGTAACTCTTCTAAAAACGAGGATTATATGTTAATTCCAGCATATCTAGACCTTAGTCAAGGATGTCCAATCTTTTGGCTTCCCTGGGCCACATAGGAAGAAGAATTGTCTTGGTTGGGCCACACATAAAATACACTAACACTAACAACAGCTGATGAGCTTTCAAAGCATGCCTAGTGTTTTTTTTCTTTTGAGACGGAGTCTCACTCTGTCACCCAGGCTAGAGTGTAGTGGCACGATATTGGCTCACTGCAACCTCCGCCTCCCAGATTCAAGTGATTCTCCTGCCTCAACCTCCCGAGTAGCTGGGACTACAGGCATGTACCACCACGCCTGGCTAATTTTTATATTTTTAGTAGAGATGGGATTTCACCATGTTGGCCAGCTGGTCTTGAACTCCTGACCTCAGGTGATCCACCCACCTCAGCCTTCCAGAGGGCTAAGATA